CCCTGTTCCTCAAAACCTGAACTACAACTTCAAGAACTGTGTGTACCTGAGTGTATATGTGGCTTTCCAATGATTTCAGAAAAAACATCTCAGAACTGACACATCTGCTTATTGACCTTATTCTGACCACTAGCAATTTATTTTGGGGTACTGAAAGTGAAAGTGGGACTAAGATTGTTAATGTTGATACAGGTTTTAGGAAAGTTCCTAGAAAGGTCTTTGAATTACGTTGCACTGGCACAATCACTGGAACAATGGTTACCCCTGACTGTAATTTACACTGAATATTGCTGAGAATTTTCAAACATCCAGCTGTGGGTGGTGTAAGAGAACCATAAAACTTGTTTTTAATGTGTAGTATACAGATATCTATGTTGCTTTAACGAACAAATTAAAGAAAACTTCATGAGTATTACTGTGAGCAGGACAAAACCCCTCAGTCTGTTAAATGTTTGCCCTTTAAAAATATTCTGACTTTTCTCCCTTTAGCTGTTTCTCAGGTATTTGTATTACCTGTACGTGAAATGCAGTGAAAAAGTGAATACCACTCTTCCTGGAGTTCGCTCTCCCACTATAAATCAGGTGAGAAATTCGTTCTAAAAGTTGTATTTCCTTCTCTTTCTGTGGTGTGTAACTTGGTGAGTAGCTGTGAATATCTGAAATCAACTGACATCTACATTCATTTTAAAAAGTATTAATACAACCTGTGTTGTCAGATGTTACACTTTAACAATGAAAACCCAAATATAATGCCTTACAATATGAGCCCCTGCATTTTGCATTAGAAATTAGTTTCAGAGTTGAGCTTTTAAAGCAAAATCTGTGTCATTTGCAGATTGTGAAGTGTAATTGTTCTTTTCTTGGTTTATCTTCAGATCATGGATTGGATGTGCCTGTTACTTGATGCTCATTTCACAGTCATGGTGATACTGCCAGAAGCAAGAGAGTTGCTTTCAAACCTGCATAAGTTTGTGAGAGCCCAAGTAAGTTGCATCTTCTGGGATGATTATTTCATTTTCAGTTGGGTTTAGAATCACTGAGGAGGGTGAAAGCAGACAGCAGCAAATTATATAGTGAATAAATAATGTCTGTCCTCCTCTGTGTGCTCCTTCCTGAGCAGGAAATGGCAGTTGCTTCTGTCTCATTCTGATTTCAAAAGCTGCTATGTTTGTTTCGTTTAAATATCTAAAACTGTGCAGAACCACAGATAGTTCCACGGGATGATGATGTGTTAAAAGAATTAAATATATTTTACTCTAAATGTCTATGTTTTCTGTTTTTTAGGTGAGGTTCTACTCTGAACTCAACAAGATTGAAGGAAGTTTGAGGGAATTACAAAGACTTAACCACCTGAGAGACTCTCAGACCTATTCTATTGAAGTGCTGGAAATCATTTGAATTGGAAATTCACTATTAACACATTTATTTTTTATTGATTCCTTTTATGACAGGGATGTATTAGCACTCCATATTGGGGATGTGAAAAGTTGTTTTCTACATAGGAGGAGCCCGGTTACTCTGTAGCTACATGGGGGTTGTAAGTTTGAAACTCATGTATTAAAAGCTCTCTTTTTGACTGGATGAGAAGCTGGATGCTTGATTATATTTTCATGTTGTATTTTGATACTTAATCCTAAGAACATCCTAAAATACCCCGTGATTCTTGGCCAGACACAAGGTGGTTGTGGCAGAAATGCTGAGGGCACTTGCTGGACTTGGGCTGTGTAACTTTGGAAGAGCTGCTCCCACAGCTGAAAGCCTTAAGACACTTTGGAAGTTGACCTGTTCCAGTTGTGTTTATACACTGTTTGTCAGTACCAAATGTATATAAAAGTAAAATTTAAAAAAAAAAAACCACTGCAATGGCAGCTGAAGATTCATATAGAGGGGAACTTCTTGGCACTGGTAGCAGTTGTTTTCCATTTTCTGAACAAGAAAACTCAGAATTTAAAATAAGAACATTCTTAACTACATCAATCTGTTTTCTCCAAGTACTTTTTCAACTAGTGTACACTTCAGCTTAGTTAACCTCATCTATACTGCTTCAATTCTTGCATTTCAAAGTATATCATAGTTTTAGATTGGGTTTGACTCTCTTTAAAATAAAAAGTGATGAAGTTTTATGAAAACAACATTTGATGAAGGTTTGTACAGGTATAAGCATCTGTTGAATTATACTTCTGGTGAAAATGGCAATTGGGAATACATTGAATTACCCCAGCAAAAGTCATGCAAGCCCTTGCTTCCTAGGACTGACTTTTAGCCTGCAGCTGAGCTCTGGTGTAACATTACTCAGCAACACCTTGGTGTCTTAGAAAAATGTACATGGAACTGATTTGAGAGATAAACACTTAAATTCAATTCCTAATACAAGTTATGAAATAATTGGAGGGAAGGACTGGACAAAAGTGTCTCAATAATTTAAGCAAGAGCATATGCTGCTTGTTCTGAATGCCATCCAGCTGTAGGTTCTTTCTCTTATCCTTAGAGAGAGGAACCCATCCAGACAACAGCTTGGAACAACTGGGCTATTCATCTTCTCCAAAGTGCCTTGTGAAAGGAGGCTTTTTCTCCATCTGTCCTGAGCATGGAGGCAGGGTAGGGCCTCCAACCAAAAGTTCCTCTTCCTACTGTATTCAGTTCAGTAATAAATATGTTCATTTAACCATACCAGCAAAAAGGAACTTCAAGTTTCTAATCAATATGTTCTATTCTGAGTGGACATGAGTAGGTTAAGGGGTTAAGGTTGATTTCTCTGTGCTGAGCTGTGTGTTGGAAAGGACTAATTTATAGTCCTGACCCTGAAAGTTAATGTACCTCTCTATGCATCCATTTCTCCACCTATAAAATTATGTCCTGTTCAGTAAGCACTTCTACATCACCAACTGCTAAATAAGAGATGGGATTAAGAGACAAGGTATTCGGACTCACAGTTCAGAAGCAAAATGTTTCTTAGCACCTTTGATCTCCTCCAGGTACCCAAAATACACAGAATTTCAGAGATAATAATGCTCTCATAGTGCTGCAGGCTGTGTGATTAGTGCAGTAGATGCACTACATACTTTTGCTGGATTCTCAGTGTATAGAGGGCAGAATGCACAGATGGTTTTTCCAAGATCACAAAGGGAGGCAGTGAAATAACCTCCCTCAAAATGTGTATCTGTGTATTCATGTTTTTGAAGAGTTACCACAATCCTTTGCAATCTTGTAAGAGGTTGCAAAAATTAGCCTGACATAAGCAATCTAAAGGTAATTTCGAAGGTTCAGAATGCAAATTGAGTCTAAAGGTGTAAATGGGGTTGGGCAACATGTTGCTGTGTGTGTCTCATCCTGTGCTTAGACCAAGGTTCAGCCTGTGCAGCTGCAACACTACGTAAGAGAGGTGCAGATAAAAAGCTGGATGTAAGAGTGCAAACAGGGCTAAACCCTGCTGCCATTCTTGCATACTTGCAGGTTTGTGGGTTTAATGAGGTGCTTGGCTTGAGCAACAGGTTAATGAACAAAAGGCACTTCAAAAATGACTCTGGAAGGACAGAAATGAAATGACACATTGAAAATGGAGCTGCCACGCTTGTGGCATGGCCAGGGTTGGGGTTTACCTTGCTCAGAAGCATAAGCAAGGGACTGAGAGAAAATTAACATGTGACTGGATTGATTTGCTAATGATAAAGCTTCAGGCTCTCTGGAATCCCAGAGCTCTGTCGATTTAGCAATGACAAGAAGGCTGGTTGTAAGAAATGCAAGATGTTTGCGTGCCTTGGGCCAGCTCTCAGTTTGTACTGAAACTGATACCTTGAATTCCAGCGATGCTGTTGGAAACCCAACAGTGCAACTGTCGATTTTTTAGCCCTTTGGGGGCTCTGGCAAATGGGAAAACCAGAGGGAGCACAAAATAGATGATGTAGTGATCCAGTGAACTGTGCACACAGAGTAGATGGATAAAAACGCTAATGGTGGGTCCATATGTGATCTCAGTCTGTGCTTTACAGTGACTGGCTGTGTAAAGGTGAGCTGTAAGAGGGGTTTAGTGGGTGAGGAGTTAAAGTATGACAGGGGAACTGCTTGTTGCGGGTGGCGGAGGAGGGAAACCTCTCCCGAGGGAACATCCAGGGGCTCTGGTTTTGGTGGGGGGTGAAGCGCCTTGTGTGGAGCCCCTGCCCGGGGCCCACCTCGCTTACGGCTGTGCCCGGGGGGCTCGGGGCTGAGGGCGGGCACAGCCCGGGGGTCCCTCGGGAGAGAGACACGCTGGGCTCGGGGACCAAGAGTCGGGGGTGGGCACACGGTGAGCCCGGGGCAGGTCCGGCCGTGGGGGCACAGCGGGGCCGCCCGGCTGAGGGAGCCCCGCGGGGGCTGCTGGGGCCAGCGGGGACAGGGGCGAGCTGAGCAGGGTTGGAGCCGGGGGCAGCTGGGGCCGGGGTCGGTGCCCGGGGCAGTGTCAGGGGCAGTCGGTGCCGGGGGTCGGTACCAGAGGCAGTGCGGGTCGAGGATCGGGGTCGGGGTTCGGTGGCAATGCCAGCGGTCGGTGGCGCTGCTGTGGGGGTCTGTGTCAGTGCCGTGGGTCGGTGTCGGTCCCGGTGTGTCCCGCTGTATCCCGGTGTATCCCGGTGTATCCCGGTGGGTCCCGGCTCTCCCCCCGTCCCTCAGCGGTTCCCCCTCAGCCGCGCCGGGAGCGCCCCCTGGCGGCGGCGGCGCGCAGCGCGGTCGGTCGGTCACGTGAGCGCGCTCGGGGCCTGGTGCCGCTTCCCCCAGTCAGCGCGAGCGGCCGAGGCGCAGGCGGGGAAACAAGATGGCGGCCGGCGGCGATCCGGAGCGGGGCGCCGGCGATTCGCGCTGAGCCGCGGCCCTCCCGGCCCGGCCCCCCCCCGGCCCGGCCCCGCGCCCGAGCGGGGCGCGGAGCCTCCCCGTAGCCGCCTGTCCGGACTTCCGAGCGCCCTCCCGAGCCGCCCTTCCCACCACCCCCCCCCGCCTCCCTTCCCCCTTCCCTCGGCCAGCGCCCAGCGATGCGGGGCCGGCGCGGGAGGCCGCCCAAGCAGCAGCAGCCGGCGGCGGCCGCCGCTCCGGCGAGCGCCCCGGCCCCGGCGGGCCCCATCGGCGGGCTGCGCTCCCGGCAGCGCGGCAGCAGCCGCGGCAGGTGGGCGGCCGCGGCCCAGCCGGAGACGGCGGGGCCCAAGCAGAAGGGAGCCGGCGCTGCCCAGGCCTCGCCGCCCGCCGCCGCCTCGCCCAGGGGGGGCGGCAAGAGGAAGGCGGGCGGCGGCGGCGGCACCCCCGGTGGGGGAGGCAGCGGCGGTAAGGGCAGGGGCAGGGCCGGGGCGGCAGGAGCAGGGGGAGGAGGAGGAGGCGCAGGAGGCAGCTGCAACAGCCAAGGCAGGGCTGCCTCGTCCAGGAGGAGCATCAGCAAAGTGGTGTACGACGATCATGAGAGCGAGGAGGAGGAGGAGAGCATGGTGTCCGAGGAGGAGGAGGAGGGAGACCCCGAGGATAACCAGAACTCCGAGGAGGAAGAGGAGGAGGAGATAATGGAGGAGGAGGACGACGACGACTCCGACTACCCCGAGGAGATGGAGGATGAGGACGACGCCAGTTATTGCACTGAGAGCAGCTTCAGGAGCCACAGCACCTACAGCAGCACCCCAGGTAGAGAGCCCGTGGGCGAACTCAAACAAGTCGAGGGGTCCCCCACATGCTCCCTCTAGGTTTGCAGATCCAGTCCGCGCTCCCAGGCGCGGTGTGAGGGATTTCTGCGAGCACTCCCGGGGACAGGGGGTTGCAAATAACCGGTGGCAACCCCGCGGATGCGGGAGCATTAGAAGATGCTCACAAACACATGCACCGAGAGGAGGGAGGAGGGCGGGCAGGACCGGCTGTAACAAGGGGATGCTTTGCAAATATGCGCGTGGATTGTGGTGCCTGCAGAAATGATCCACCTGAACGTGTTGCAAACGATGTCAAAAGTGCGTGGAGCATTTCTCTTTAAATTTAAAAGCAAGGGCAGCGACAGGCACGCCTTGCAAAGAGGTCCTTTCAATTAAACACAGGAAGAGATGGCTTGTGCTCGCGAATGTAACTTGATGTTGAAAGGAAAGGAGGCACATACAACTTGGAAGTGGCCTAAAAAAAAAAAAAAACGAAAACCCCAGAAACACTGAAAATTTTCAGGCTTTGGAAATCAGAGCTATAACTGGATCCAGTATTTACTGGCTTTAAGACAAAAGTAGCTTTCCAAGGAGGGAAATGAGGTGCATTGTTCAAAATGGAGATTGCATTGTTATAGTTTAGGGAAAAGTGCACAGGGCCTCATTGCAAGGGTGTAAACCTTGTTTTAGTTAAGCACGAAGATTAAAAGGTGGAGGTCGAGTCAGAAGTCTTGGGTTTAAATGCTGCGTTTATCTTAAGATATAGCAACCTTTAAAACTTGTGCTGGGGTTACAACTCGTTAAACATCATTGTGGTTATTTTTTTTTTTTAATTCTAGTGGCAAATTTGGGCACAATTTTTTAAGGCCTGCTCTTCTGTGTGTCCTTAATTGGTTCATTAACCATGTGGGTTTCAACCTTCAAAAATTCTTTTATTTAAACTTAAGCACTTAGGATTTTTTTGAACTCATTCTAGAATGGAGTCCAAGCTTAGAATATTTTATTTTTTTTTTTTTTTAAAGTCTCTGAACCAGGAGATTAGTTAAGCACCTCTGGTGATTTGGGCTCCAGTTGTACACTGCTGGTGTACAAGTGTTTGGCCAGTTTGTAAGAGGGAAGGAACAGGTTGTTGGTGTGAATGCATTGCATCTTAACTGAAAGTTAAGTAGTAAGTTTCGAGTAGTTATCTGATGACTTCTTAAAAGGGGGAAGTCCTGGCTGCTAAATGTGTCATTTGTTTTTATTTTGGTGAGTTCAGGGTATCAGCTCGTTCTGTGACTTCATAATGGTCCTTTAAAAGGCTCTGTGTGTTTGTCTATATATTTTTTAACCTGTATTCATATGCTCAAAAATGTAAATGAATCGAACTAAATACATGCGTTGCTAAATTAATTTAATTTAGAGATAATTTTTAAGAAGTTAGTTTACCTGTTGCAGGGATGTCCTGCAATCAAATTGAAATTTTTGGAATATTTTTTGCTTTAAAGGTTGAGATCTGGCTTTGCAGAAAAGAAAGGCTTTAAAGCACTCTCTTGACTTTTAACTCTTCATTTTCTGCTTAGTTGTGATAACTTTAATTTTTGTTACTTTTTGGGTGTGCTTATGTCAGGAAAAAAATATATTTATGATTGTAACTGGCTAGGTCAGGAAAATATTTTCCCATGAGCATCCAGGTTTCAAGTGAGTTGTGCAGAGAATGGGTGGATGCAGTTTTTGAAATGTGCTCAGTGTTTTGGCAAATCACAGGACAGCTCTGTGTGCATTGTTGTACAAGCAGAGACAGGTTTTATGTGGTATTGAGGTGTATCAGAAACCATTTTGATCATTTATATGTTTATTTCTCACCTGGTCAGGATGACTTCAGTTAACTTCTTTTAGACAAGTGCAAGTGTAAGCATTTTCACCCTTAGGTGTTTTTTCTTTATGCTGAGTTTTTGAGAGTTAAAACATCTATGTTGTTGTTTTGGTGATTTACTGGTGGTTCCCATTAGTTCAGTATTTGCCTAAAGGTCTCCCTCCCTCCTCCCCTCTCTCCCAGACGTTCTGTTGCCCTTTTGCAAAGAAAATATAAACTTTTCATTCACTCAACTCAGTCTGTTTCCCTCCTGGACATCTCCCTGTGTGGGGAGCAGGGCTGTGCTGTGGTGGCACTGATGGAAATCCCGGTGTTGTCATAATCCAGGGAGAGAGGCTGGACATCAGAACAGCATTAACAGGCAAGGGAAAGGTTCATCCAATATCAATACCTGTGTCTGACAGTGGCCAGTGCAGGGGGGAGTTAAAAGCACAGATGTGTCTGAATTAAGTGTTCCTTCAGAGCTGTTTGACTCAGATGCACCCTGAGCCAGAGCTGGTCTGTAGCTGTGTTTAGATTTGGGGTTTTTCCTTTCATATCTTTATTTTCAAACTAGACAAACTGTAAGACAGTGACAGAGTTCCTGATGAACTGGAGGCCTTGAAGGGAGTGCCTCTTCCCTTGGTTTAAACTCTCTCCTGACAGAATCCTGCAGTTTTTTACCAGAGGAGATGATGAACAATCCTTCTCCTTTTATCTTCCCTCAGTCATTTGCAACCTGAATTACAGCCACTCTCGGGATATAGTCTTAGGGGCTGAGGAGTTTATTTTTTGAGAGCAGGATATTAAAAAATTGCCCTCCCAGTCAAACTCCCCTGCCAACTAAGCTTTTACACATAAATCACATCCCAGTTAAACGGGTGACTCCTTGTACAGTCTTTTCAAACTTCCATTGAACAATGAATTAAAAGATCACAGAGCAATGTCTCAAGCCAAGAAAGTCTCAATTTTTATGCTCTGATGGGGAGTTTGATTTACCTTGAGCTTGGATGTAGGAATACCTTTTTACTATATTGTTGTTATCATTATTATAAGTATTTAGAGAAGCAAAATCTTAGGAAAGGTAAAATGCCTTTAATATACCACTTAATAATGGTACAGTGAAAGCATATGACACTTATAATTTCACACAGATTTTGTGTGTGTGATGTCTCTTACCCCTTGGCATTCCCAGCAGGTGGATGTACTCTTAGGACAGGTATCCTGTGTATCTCGGATCACTAAACATTTTTGCCATTCCCTGTCCACTGTAAATTCTACTTTAGGCTTGTCACCCTTGCATTATAGTTACCAAGTATTTTCCATACGTTGCAGAATTTTAAGGGAAGGGTTTAATCAAGGTGCCTGGAACTCCTTCATTTTTTGCTTCTTGATTTTTCTTCCTCAAAACCTAGAAAAACTGGCTTTAGGAAGAGCTGTACGTTTAGATTTTGGCTGAGATCATCATCATCAATTGAGTTGGGAACCAAAATATTTGTCCTAAAATACATTGAATAATACTTTAAGGTGGATTTTGTTAGTCTGAGCACTTGCAGGATTTGACCATTGCTTCTGTTAACTGGTCACTTCACCTTTTTCTTCGGAGTGAAAGAACATAGCTGGAAAGCAGCATTCTGTGTGTCTGTAGTGATTTTTTATCTTAACGTTTTTCTGCTCTTGAGGAATTGTTTAAGTGGAGACATTGAGATAGGACAGTAAGATATGCAGCCTCTTTTGTGTGCCGGGAGAGAAGATTTACCAACCTCCCAGACACCTTACCTGGGGTACTCTCTTCTCTAAATTAAACCTGGCCTGCTCTTATTTTACCACTTAGTGGTCTGCACTTTGATTTGTGCTCTAGAGGGAACGATCACTGGTTCATCGTGCCAGTCATGGAAAACGTAGGAGAGAGTCCTAACAAAGAAATTGTGAAGGCCAGAGGAGTAAATCTGGGGCTGATCCTCCTCTATTGACTCGTTAATTGGCAGTTTATCTGAAGAGAGTGTTTGTCACTTGGGTCATCTCAGGAGCTCTGTGCTGCAGGTACCTCACCCTTATCAAATATGTGTGTTGTAAAAGGGAGGGTAATTTGATGGGGTGCTGATGAGTTTATTGTGCAAACTTTTTTGTGTAGATCTGCAGTAAAATTCCGTAATTGATCGTTGTTTTGCATAGAAGTGGTGTAAGGTGAATAAAGGTGGATTTTAGGCTGGGACTGGCTCTCAGGGCTCTCTTCACTCTGGAATGAGTTACAACTTGTCCCGAGTGTAGTTCCTAAGAAACTGTCAAATTGTTCCTGAAAATCATTATGTCCGTGCTACCTGTATTTTTGGGTAGGTTTTCTTGCCTGGGTTCAAGGCATGAAAGGATTGTGCCTCTGAGTCCTTCTCAGGATGACAGTGTGGGACCTCATCTCTTACTTGTCTTGCATTAGTTCTCCAAATGTTCAAATGATGCCACAGAACTCAGTGGGTTTGTATTCCTGGCTCCTGCTGGGAGACTGCTGATGGCCATAATGGTGGGAAATTAAATTCCTCATATAAAATCCATAGAGAACCCCAGTTTAATTTAAAAGTGTACTGCTGACAGGTGTACAAACTGAGAAAAAGCAGCCATAAGTTTTAACGTTTTAAAAGAACATCAAGACCTAGTTTTGTACAGGGCAAGGCAGGAGTCAAACTTAACATGTGAGAATTTGGGTGATAGGGGTGCACTCAGGATGTAGTCTCATAACCAGTTATTTTTCCATTTGTGTTTCAACTTCCAAAGCTTTTGTGGTGCTTGAAATGTCTCATTTTTAATGTTGGTTTAGATTAAGTTTAATCTGGTTTATGTTTGGTGTTGTTTACTTTTCTTTTTTCCAGGCAAAAGAAATAAATTGGGTTAGGTGTGATTATTGCAGAGCAATGCTCAAATTGGAGCTGCACCTACAGTAGTTACAGACACATCTTATTCTTTCAGAATTTTTTTCTGAAAGAGACTGTTCGACTTGTGAATATTAGAAACATGTTGATTATCAGGTTGTGATTTTTAAAGGGAAAAAAAAGTGTTTTTTAGAAGTCAAAGCCTTTAATTTTGGCCCATCCCAAGAAAAAGATTTAGATTCTTCTATTTCGGTACTGCTTTTCATAATATATTCTTATTTTATGTTAAACTCATTCATTTTA